TAAGACGATAAGTGGCGTAAGAGGCCTACATGGAAGTACAAATGGTATCAGCCTTTGTTCCATTGACATTTATGTTCAATCACAAGCACCTTTCGTCCCTTAGATTTATTTATGAGTGAGTCGATATAGTTTTCTTGCTTATTTAGAAGTTTTAAGTGATTTTTGCATAAGAACTTATGGTTGTATTTGGATTGTGCTAACGTTGGTGGAAGGTCAACAGATCTATAGATTTTATTTGCATTTGAACTTAACTTTCTCCAACTAGATTTACTTTAGTAATATGGTTCTATTTTTTGTGTTACTCTTTGGGGTTGTTTAGTTGCAAGTATTTATATAAATTTAAATGCATTGTGTATTGTAAATTCATTTTATTCGAAATACTTTATAAGTTTGAATGGTCATTGAATAAGTTTGAGAGATTGTGTTATTGGAGCCTTGGATGTAGATTAGGGGTGTCAATTTCGGGTCATGGGTCGGGTTCAAGTCCGGGTCAGGTTAGATACAGCCAGGTCAAATTCGGGTCTGACCCGAACAGGACCCACAGACACGAATTGACAGCACTATTTTTTTGTTGGCACCAGGTCATTCGGGTCGTGTCGGGTTGACTCGACCCGAATCGTGTACGGGTTGACTCATCCCGAATCGTGTACGGGTCATGGATCTTATTTCTGGTAAATTCTTTGGACCCGAACCCGACCCGAAAACACGACCATCACGAAATTTTGAAAATAAATCTCAAAGGCGCGGGTTCCAATTGCTACTTCCAGTTCCAGTCCCAGCAGCGCAGCAGCAGCGGCGCAGCGGCAATGGCGACCGTAGCGGCAGAAAGCGAACGTCGAGACTCGCGATTCGTGAAGCGACACAGCGCCAGACTGTCAGTGACTCGATTGGGACTTCGACTCAATGCTTCAGGCAACACAGGCAGCCGTGCTGGCGGGCAGGCGGGTAGGCAGGCACTCGACACTTTGGACAGGCTAGGAAGCAAAATGCAGGCAGAGGATTTCCGGGTCATTTTCGGGTTGCCGGGTCAATCCGAACCCGACCCGATTTTTTAAACGAGTGGGTTTGTTGAACCCGAACCTGACCCATTTCACAAATGGGTCGACCCTAGCCCGAATTTTTTCGGGTCGTGTCAAAAATTTATAGCCCTAAGAAAGTTAGTTTTTGAGTCCCAATCTAGGATTGCCGGGTCAAAAATGGGTATGTTTTGGGTCAACTACGGGTCAAAGGGCCAACCTGAATCCAACACAATTTTTTAAACGGGTTGAATTGTGTAACCCGAACCCGACCCATTTTAGATCGACCCTAACCCAAAATTTTCGGGTCGTATCAAATATTGACACCCTTAATGTCGATGGTGGATGAGCTGGCGATGGTTGATGGCAGAGGGCTGATGGTGGTGGTTAGGTGGCAGAGTTCAACTATAATAAGTGATGGTTAGTAGGGGTGTCAAAAGTTGACCCGACTCGAAACCCGACCCGAAAAAATCCGGGTTCGGGTCAACCCGTTTATGAAATGGTCGGGTCCGGATTCAGATTTCTGACCTGAAAAGCGGGTCAGGTTCAGGTTGACCTGACAACCCACGGGTCGACCCGAAATGACTCGTTTCCCGCCCGTCACTCAGGTCACGTCCGCGCTGCCTGTCAGGTTTCGTTGTGTTAGGTCGCGCCCGCATCATGGTGTTAGGTCGTGTCTGCATCCTGCATCACAAGCCACATCCGAGACTCCGAGTCCAGGTGTCCTGCGTCCCTGCTCGGTGCTTCCCACCTCCCGTCCAAGCATCTCGCATCAGGGCGCCTCACGTCCGGCGTTCGCGTCCAGCACTTTGGCGCGTCCAGGCGTCCAGCGGTCCAGGCATCCGCGTCCGCGTCCAAGCATCCCGCATACGCTCCGCAGCCTCCGGCCCTCCACTTCGCTTGGCACCAGCGCTCCGCAAAAGTTCGCGGGTCGTGTCGTGTCAACCCGGTAACCCGCATAGGTTGGGTCCGGGTTGACAAACCTGACCCGTTTGCAAAATCGGATCGGGTTAGGGTCAACTCATTTAAGGTCGGGTCAAGTCAAGTTCGACCCGAACTCGACCCGTTTAGTGAATGATGGCAGAAATCGCTCCAATTTGATGAATTTGGAGTTCACCAAGTTGAACTAATAAGTGCTTCCAAATTGTTTAATGAAATATTTTAAAGAAATATTTTGCATTTGATTTTATACCAATCAGAAATTCAAAAATTCAAAATTCCTGCATTTAGTTTATACTCAACCTCTCCAAAAAATGGCCTCTCAAGTAATGATGATTATTTTATGAATTAAATCTTGGACACATACCACATATATAAGTCTTGAACCTATGACCTCTGGGTAGAAAACCTATGCTCCCATTCAATAGGCTATTGTTAATTTTATTTTTTATTATTTGATGAATAATTAATGATGAAATTCTCAATTTGTATAGATATTGTGCTATTTATCATCTTTTTATAAGTATATTTATGATACAAATAGTATATTTCAAAGAAATAACTATCTCAAATTAGAGGTATGCATAATTTACTTTACTGAAAAAATATAATGTTCTAATCTTAAAAGTAGCACATTGAGAAATTTTTTATTAGGATGATTTTTTTTTTCCAAAAAACCCGCAGAAGGGGCATACAAGTTAAAACAAAATAAGGATACAACTATACAAGTCCTTAAAGAATCTAAAGTCCTCTAGAAATACATCATTTAAAGGAAAACCCATGAGTCATAGATTCAAACTAAAGACAAGATCAAACAAAAGAAGCTAAAAAACACAAACACAAAGCAAAGGTAAATAAGGCTCAATCACACAACATAAGGAAAGACAACTGGAAACAAGTCAAACCAACACCAAACAAAACCAAATCAGTTCAAACATCCGAAAAGACTGCATCAGTATCAATGCCAGCACCAAAACAACTCCCAAAAACAACAATGCCAGCACCACAAAGACCAAAAAGAGCATCACTTTTTTTTAGAATTAAGAGCTTTACGTTTGTTAGGAGGATATCATTAGAGAATGAGTCTAACTCTAAAAGCAAATTTCGGTCGGTTTAATACTAATTTTTATTTTAAAAATAACAATATTTCAAGCATTAGGAGCTATGTCAACCAAAGCAAGATACAATGACACGAGAGTAAAATATATTTTTTACTTGTTTTATTTCATAGAATACGCGATTCAAATGTGATGATTTCATGTATTTGAGAAATGATAATAAATGCAAGAATATTATCTCTGTCAAGTTGTAAGTCCTAATTTCTAAAATAACAATAGGTAACCTATTAGCTTATCCCAAGATGAAAACACTCTTCCTGATTTCTTCTCACCCCGTCTCTCTGGTGATTCTTAGAGTTGGAGATGCAAGAAAACGAACCTCTCACTATAAAGACTGAAAAAAGATTGAGGAATTGACAAATTACTATTACCAAAAAAATATTATTTAGTATTCATTTGAGACAGCTTTAAACATGGGATCATCAGAACTCTGATTTTAGCAAATTTATAGTCAAACTGAACGTCTCAAAAATAATATGAACCCAACAACACTAAATTTGACTCAACCCGAGCCCAAATGGAACGAAATCCAAGACTGAAGCGCATTTGAAAAGTTCAAACCATAAATTAGATTACCAAACAACTTCCAAACATGAAATGCTTATAGTCGAATTGAGCGGCTCGAAGAGAAGAATCCAACGAGCCCAAGATTGCCAAATTATGATATCATAAGACATTCAAATCACGATAAAGGGACCACCAAACTTACTCTTTATCTCCCTCCTATTTATTATCATGTCACTCTCATAAAACTATAAATAGATACATCATTCCTCATGGAAAGTGACCAAAAGCAACGAAAAGAGATGAACTGGAGTTCTCTTGCCACCAACTATTCCTCTCCTATTGTCAGACTTCTGTTTGGTCATCGATTGTCGCCGGACCTCTGCCCAATCACCCATTACCGTCGGACTTCCGCCCCATCACCGACTGACGCTAAACTTATCGGCTGTCATCGGATTTCTTCTCAGTCACCGACTCTCGTCGGACTTCTGCTCGGTCGCTGATAAGCTTTGGATTTCCGCCGGGTCACCGACTGACGTCAGACTTCCACTCGACCGCCAACTAACATCGGATTTCCACCCGACCACCGAACGTCGTTGGATTTGCATCCGATCTCCGCTAGTCACTTGATTTCAACCCAACAGTTGATTGTTGTAATTTGATTGTTCTTAATAGGACGAATTAATCATTTGTAATATATTCAAACACTAGTGTAATCATTTCAACTTAGTGTGACCCATGATTATTCCCTTATTTTAGTGTTTCTCACATAAAAAAATCTTACATTTCTAAATTTTTTGTTTGTGTGCTGGATATCCATACAACACTGAAATGAAAAATTCTAACTCTATTGCTACGTATATTCTAGCCTGCAACAAGGATCATGACTAATAATGTAACAATTGGCCTGTTGGCAATTCAAGAATAAGATCCCCCATTAATTATTTCCAATCCAAAACAATGAAGAAATATGACAATCTTTTAGTTACAAACAATGAAATTAGCAGAACTGAAAGAGTTCTATTTGCAAATTGATGCTTTGCATTTTCACATGAATTAACAGTACTAAAATAAAATTAAGAAAAAAAGAATAGTTAATCAAACCATCTCTTGAAGAACATGGGAGGAACGTGTGGAGCGTGAAGGTCACCATCTTACAACTATCAAAATTGTGGCTATATTACATAATTTCCACAGCAACATTCTCTCCTTTGCCGACCAAGAAAGAAGTACCCCATCAAGGTCGTGGCTTCCATATAACGCATCAATGTCTTTCCAGTGGCCAACTAAGCTCTATCGTAATTTACATAAATCCATTGATTAACAAAAAATTGAATAGAACTGAATAATTTAATGCTACAAGAAGTATATTAAGCCATCTAAATAAGAAGTCTCTCCTCTGCTCACATAACAGTCGAATTCTCTGGTAAACTATAGACGTCGGAGATGGCATCGAATCCAGCGAAGAAGCCGACGGTGAAATTTGCTCGGAAGACGTCGAGCGGCCGTTATGTGAGCCTGTCAAGAGAAGACGTGGACTTGATGAACTATACAGTTCACATGCCGCCGACGCCGGATAACCAGCCAATTAACGAGCCCGCCGCCGCCGGAGATCGGTTTGATTCGACAAGCAGGAACGCGGCGAGCCGGCCTCCGCTGCCTGGAGGTAAGAGGGGATTAACATTAACGCCGTGTGAAATGCCGGAATGCGACGGGTCTGTGGAGAAGGATGAGCAGGGGCAGGATGCGCATCCCTGTGAATGCGGGTATGATTAGATTCGTAAATGTTTTGGCAAAGACCAAATTTTTACCTTTTTAGTCTTCTGATTAATAATATTTGCTAATTAAAATAGGAACTTTTATTAGGTCCGGTGTAAGGACGTAGAGGAATGTCCGGTCAAAGGTAAAATCCGGCCAAAAAATTTGGTATTTGCTCGGTATTACTAGGTATTATTTGATAATAACGAGAAATACCGCTCTGTGAAGATCAATACCGAGTTATACCAAGCAATACCGAGCAATACCGAGTTGTACCGAATTTTTTTAGGAAAAACTTGGTACAACTTTTGTATAACTCGGTATTGCTCGATATAGCTCGGTATAACTCGGTATTGGGTCTTCACGTGATGGTATTCCTCTTTATTGTTTGGTATTGCTCGGTATTTGCTCGGAATTTCTCGTTTTTTGACGCGATTTGGCCTCCGATCGGACGTTCCTCTATGTCCGGCCAGTCGGAGTACGTAATAATTGTTCTTAAAATAGAGACATAGAGAGAGAGAGAGAGAGAGAATTTCAAGGAAATTTAAATAAAAGAGCCTTGTATCAATTACTAACCAATCAGCATAATAATTAGTCCAATAAGAAATATGAGACAAAATCAATTAAATCAAGCAAAGAATTCAATAAAAGGTAAGATTAAATATTTATTTTCAGAGTTGAAAGCATCGTCACATCATTATCCCTTTCTCTATTATTTGTTCATTGTATATATGTAAGTTAGATGGTGGTGAGACCTGCAATTTTTTATGATGTTGAATGTTGACCATTAAAAGAGAAGCATAATACTAAGTTAAGTATTGCAGAGATGAGGATGCTTAGGTGGATGAGTGGCTTGACCCTTAGAGATAGGATACGAAATAAGATTATACATGAAAAGGTTGGAGTAGCTCCAGTGGAAGATAAGATTAGAGAGAGTCGCCTTAGATGGTTTGGTCACATTAAATGGAGGCCTTCCAATAACCCAGTTAGGAAAGTTGAGGTATTAGATTTGACTTATGTTAAGAAAGATAGCGGTAGACCTAAAAAGACTTGGCTATAAAATATTAGAAATGATCTTTCTTTATTAGATTTAAATGGAATTTGACTTTTAACCGAACACAATGGCGAAAAAGAATTCATGTAGTCGACTCCACGTAGTGGGACAAAGGCTCGATGATGATGTTATTGTTGTTGTATATATGTAAGATAATAGAATGGAAATTTAACTTAAAATTCTCACTTATTGTAGAAATTAAAAAAAAAAAGATTTTGAAGAATAAAAAGAGGCCTTAAAATATAGAGAAATTATTCCATACGTAGTGCGGGTGGGAAGTTTTGGTCCGGACTGTGAGTGTACACATTATGTACAAATAGTATGTATAAATTTGAACCAAACTGTATTAAAAAATTATACAGTCCGGATGGAAACTTCCCGTCCGGACTCTTACAAAATGGTAGGCTACAGCACATCAAAGCATAAATTAAGCTAAGAATAAGAAATGGAAACCTTCCCGATGCAATGTCTCAGCCAGCACTTGGAAAGGTGGTGGTTTTCAAGGTGTTAATGGTTGGCATTTTGACACTCCTCCACCATCTTCTCCGCATCCATATCTCATTCATTTTTTTAGAAGATTCAATAATTATGTTTATATTTGATTAATTAAAATACATATATGCATATAATTTGTTCCAAATATTTGAAGGTTTAAGATATGCAATGACTGCTTCGGGGACGCACAAAGGAGCGGAGAAATCAACTGCCCGGGCTGCAAAGAACTCTACAAAGTGCCGGAGTTTGATGACAACGAATCCAGTTTCTCCGCCGTGCCGCCGGCGCCACAACACTGGACGGCGAGCCGCGCCATGTCGGCTTTACAGAGCAGCCAACCAGCCAAATTCGATCACAGTCAGTGGCTCTTTGAAGCACAAGCAACGTATGGCTACGGCAACGCCTTTTGGCCAAAAGACGACGCCTCTGTTGACGGAGACGGCGGCGGCGGTGGAAGCGGAGATAACGGCATTGGCAGCACTGATGGCGATAAGCAGTGGAAGCCTCTCGCTCGTCGGATTCCGATCTCCGCGGCAATCATTACCCCTTACAGGTCTGTAGTTCTCCGGCAAATATAGCATTTTAATGGTTGCTCAAATTTATTAAATTTATTTTAATTTTAATTTAATATAAATTATAATTTAATATAAATTATGTATATAACATTAATTTATAATAAATATAATATAATTTAAGTTTAATATAATATATAATTTTGCTTGCGTTTATAAGATTACATAATATATTTTCCCAAAAATAAAACAATACATAATATATATTGACATATATTTATTTCAATAATAGTTACTTATTAAAATGTTTTGGATAATTAATAAATCATTACATTCAGGCTGCTAATTCTGATACGGCTCATAGCACTTGGCTTCTTCCTCACATGGCGGATAAAAAACAAGAACCACGACGCCATCTGGCTTTGGGGAATGTCCGTCGTCTGCGAGATTTGGTTCGCCTTCTCATGGATCCTCGACCAACTCCCCAAACTCCACCCCATCAACCGCTCCACCGACCTCTCCGCCCTCCGCGACCAGTTCGATCCCTCGCCCACCTCACCCTCCGACCTCCCCTCCGTCGACGTCTTTGTCTCCACCGCCGATCCCGACAAGGAACCCCCTCTCGTTACGGCCAACACCATCCTCTCCATCCTCGCCGCCGATTACCCCGTCGATAAGCTTTCCTGCTATCTCTCCGACGACGGCGGCTCCCTCCTCACCTTCGAGGCTATGGCTGAGGCTGCCGCTTTCGCAGCCTTATGGGTCCCCTTCTGCCGCAAACACGACATTGAGCCGCGGAACCCGGAAAGTTACTTTGGCCTGCGGAGGGATCCCACGAAGAATAAGCGGAGGCAGGATTTTGTGAGGGATCGGCGGAGAGTGAAGAGGGAGTATGATGAGTTTAAGGTGCGGGTTAATGGCTTGCCGGATGCGATAAGGAGGCGGTCCGATGCGTTTAACGCGAGGGAAGAGATGAAGCAGATGAGGAGGATGAAGGAAGCTGCGGCAGCCGGTGATCAGGATGTGATGATAGAGGTGGTGAAGGTGAAGAAGGCGACTTGGATGGCTGATGGGACGCATTGGCCTGGGACTTGGGCGCTGACGGCGCCGGAGCATGGGAAAGGGGACCATGCTTCTATACTTCAGGTTCCTAGTCATTGGCTTTTTTTTATTCTCTTTTAATTAAGTATTGTTAAGCATGGCGCCCTGTCCTGAAAGTAATGGAGGAGAGCTCTTAGGGCATCTTCAGCCGAACATCAAATACTTGAATAGCGTCACTCGCCAGCTCCAACCGAACGGTAAAACCTTCGCTATTTGATTAAGGGTGAACAGTGGGACGTCAATATTGAAGTTACACTGTTCATCTCCGTCAATTTTACCTCACTACCGAACTTGCAGCGGGAAAGAATAGACGATTGTTACCTTCAAAAGCGGGAAAATGGAATTTGATTGAAGATGAATCACGGCATTTTGGAGTGAAAAATGAGATTTTCGGTTGGAGATGCTCTAAATGAGAGGAAATTATTATGTGCAGAGTCAGAACGAAGATGATCTTCTGGATTATTGGACTCATTGCATGCGCTCTGTTTACACTCTGAGTATTTGTAGATACGGATCAAATAAGTAGCAAATATTCAAAACTAATTATTTGTTGCTTATTTATTGCGTATTTACAAATATACCGTGTATACATAGTAATATGCAAAGCGTAAGCAGAGCTTATGTATAGAATACGCAGTAATCCGAAAGATCCTCTCCGTTTGGACTCCGTAAAGAATAATTTTCCCTTGATCAGACAAAAGATTACAAAGATGAATATTTGATTAGAAATATAAGATGATATAATTAAAGAGAATTGAGAGTATAATACAAAATTATTTAATATTTTTATTACATAATGTATCGATTCAGGTGATGTTGAAGCCGGCAATGGCAGAGGCTATCTACGGCCGGGAATCCGAGCAGCAGCTTGGAATAGACTTCACAGAGGTGGACGTGCGATTGCCGATGTTAGTTTATGTGTCGAGGGAGAAGCGGCCGGGGTATGACCACAACAAGAAAGCTGGAGCTATGAATGCTCTCGTGCGCGCCTCCGCAGTGATGTCAAATGGGCCATTCATCCTTAATCTTGATTGCGACCACTATATCTATAATGCAGTGGCCATCCGTGAGGCAATGTGCTTCCTCGTTGATCATGGCGGTGAGGATATTTGCTTCATTCAATTCCCGCAACGCTTCGAAGGAATTGACCCAAATGATCGATATGCCAACAATAACACTGTATTTTTTGATGGAAACATGCGTGCTCTTGATGGTTTGCAGGTGAGTCGCAAGAAAACTTATTAAATAATTTTGATCTAGCTCAGATTCCAATAATAATTTTGATCGAATTTCCAATTAGCGAAAGTCAAAATTTGATTGGGTTAATTCAGCTTTACTATCCATATATAAAAATTGTAGTTGCTTTTAGTTTGTTGTTGCTGAACCCTGCTAAATTTTTTAGTTTTGACAATGGAAAGCAATTGTTGATATGCAAGCAGGGTCCAATGTACGTCGGGACCGGATGCATCTTCCGCCGCTTCGCCCTCTATGGTTTCGACCCGCCGCCCGCCGCCTCCAATTCGACGCCTTCCCACCACCCTCACTTTGTCGTCGCCGAAACCGACTCCTTCCGCCCCCAATCCTTTTACGACGCCGAACTCAATCCCTCCTACCTCCCGAAACGCTTCGGAAACTCCTCTGCTCTAGTCGAATCCATCCCCATCGCCGAGCTTCAAGGACGGCCTCTCGCCGACTACCAATCCTCACTGTATTGCCGGCCCCCCGG